TTCTTCGTTTGGCAATTTAAATACTACCCTCTTGCGAAAACAGTCTACATGGGCGTGGTGGGCAGCAAGCTAATCCATTCCCAGTATTACATCGAAATCTTATATGTCGACCAAAATTAAGTATACCTGTAACTTCCTCCCCTCTATCTCTACCCTACAAGAGTCAAACATTACATCAGTACATAAAGCGCCATTAGTTGGCGTAGATATTACCAATACCCGGTCCAACCCCGAGGTTTTATCCCTAGTCTAGATGCGAACCTAGGCGATACAAATGAATGTGTGGCACCAGTGTCAATTAGTACTCTAGTAGGAATATTCGAAATATAAAGTATACCTTGTATGACTCTTGAAGTAGCAACCGCCTCCGGAACAATCATGGCAAACACCCGCCCTTGAACCAACGGCCGACCAGACTCTCTCGGTAGGGGGCAATCTCGTACGAAGTGTTGTGTACTCCCACACTGATAGCAGCTTCGACCGCCACTCATACATGGCCGATCTCCATGGTTTTTACCACACCGTGGGCACATCACGCTGCATGGGGCCATCTGATGACCCGGGATTGCCTCTTGAACCACTCTCTGCCTCTTCTCTTTTGACCAAAAGATGGTGGCGGTCGTCTATAACTGAAGGGTCCTTTATTATTGTCAGTCTGTTCCTTATACAGTGCCTCTATCAACTGTGCCTTCTCCAATACCATCTGATATATAGGCAATGCAAACATAGCCACTTGGTGATACAATTCTGACCGTAACCCCTTCTCAAACCTTCTGGCCTTCTTGGTTTCATTCATCATGACCACGGGCGCAAACCGACCCAAATCTATATATTTTTCGGCGTATTCCACCACAGACAACCTCTCTTGTCTAAGTTCAGTAAACTCCACTTTCCTTTCGCTGTCTCAAAAAATCTGAGAAATACTCTGCATTGAAAGCTTCTAGGAACACTTCCTAGGTGATTGGTGGGACCAAAGCTCCTCTTTTCAATTTCAATCAGCGTTCAGCAGACCCTCTTAACATAAATGTAGCCAGCTGTACCCTCTGTTCTGTAGTCACAGTCATCACTTCGAATAATTTTTCTGTCTCCTTTATCCAATCATCCGCCACTAGTGGATCAAAACCCCCATTGAAGATGGGAGGGTTCAGCCTTCGGTATTTCTCAATATTGCTCGTATCCACTACCCCTATGGGAATCCCTAGTTGTGGCACCGATATTGCCTCTGACCGCAACCCTCTATCTCTAATCATGGTAGCTAAGCTCTCAACCACTCTGCACAGCCAGTTAAAGTCCTCCTACTGCACGCCGGACTGCTCTGCCTGGGTTGCCGATGGACCAACAGCATGTCTCGGCTGTACGGGAGGGAGCACAGTGTGACACGGGGGTGTGTAAAATACCTATTGATCATTGTTGTCTATATAATAAAATAGTCTCACCTCACAAATTATGAGCTAAGATTTGTTTAGTTCAAATTCGTTAAAATATTAAAAATCTTTTCTCCATCAAGATTTAAAAACAAAATTCAAAACAGAAAATTGCTTAATAATTTTTTTAAAGTTTTTTCTTTAGTGGAATAATTGTAGGTGAGTAAAATATTTTGGAAGATAAAGCAAGTTGAACGTGCATTTAATATATATAGATATATATAGATATATCAGTATGCATGTACGTATTGAAGATTAAAAACATTTTTATCTTTTTAATCTCTAAAAATGTTAAATGATTTATTCTATATTTATTAAGCAAATTAATATATATATAGAGGTTGGCGTCATATAGATATGAGTTTGAATTAATGGGGTAACTGTTTTGGGTTGACTCGGTCAAAAACTGAGAACTAATAAATTAGGTTGACCTAAGCTAGTTTTTGTAACAATATCTAATTCATACTTCCGCGGACATAACAAAACATACTTGCTTGAATTCAATAAGGGCTACCATTGCTCATCCAGTGTTTACAATGTGTGGTCTGTTGGCCTTGAGATTTATATAGTCTTGCCCAATAGAATGAATATGTGTAAAAGAGGAAGTAATCCCGTGTGTGAAAGAGAAAATAAATAAGGTTAAATGATGTAATTGTTAAAGAAGTAAATGAGACTAAAAAGTATAAAGATAAATTACACTATTTATAATTAATTCTAATTAATTGTTTACTTCTTTTTTTGTTCTTAAAAATCCATATAAATAGAACTATAATATTCAAAAAAATACATGTCAAATAACTCTTACATGGTATAGAGTTATGGTTTGAAAAAAACCTACACTCTTTGACATCCTAATTTATTTCTTCTTTACAATATGGATGATATATCATCGCTAATCATAAAAATTAGACATAGTTGTAATTTATCTCACAGAGTGGCAAACAGATACATAGTAAAAACAGAATTAACACTCAAATATATTATCCACGTAAGCATTTTC